CCATCTGTTACGCCTCGATGCAAACTCTTAACAGAAACGTTAATTATTATAAAGTCATTGTCGTTAGTCTTTGATGAAGCTACTGGATCGAAACCCAGTTTGCTGAAAAAATTCGGCGAAAAACTCAACATAGGCACTTAAATGTAATAGTTAAAATATTTTTAATACAATATTAAAGCTAGTATGAATCTTCTGACACGCTTTTTATATCATATATATTTTAAAGGAAAAAAAGGAGACGTGAGCCTTAATTTTATTTTTATTTTATTAGAATTAATAATAATAAATGAGTATGTTGGGACATTCATACACAGCACCATCTAGTTCCATGGTAAGCTACGAAGCTTGTGTTATGGATACCAGATAGTTGATACACTACATATATATATATATATATATATATATATATATATATATATATATATATATATATGTAGTATAACTTTAAATACATACATATTATAAATACTCGTATAAACACCCATGACTGGAGTACAAACATTCATGCTCATCAGACAAACGAATGCCCCCAGCGGGACTCGAACCCGCGACCGCTGGTATAATAAGTAGGGTCACTACAAACTGAGCCAAACTTGTTGTCAAATTGATACATTTATTGATGTGTATCATCTTTCCTCTCTCTTTCCTGCAATCTGTGGGAGTGACTTTGTGAAAAAGGACGGAAGTGTGTAACAGGAAGCCGGCCGCCGAGGTAGCGCGCTATTTTTAGATTAATATAAAGATTTAATAAAATAGTGGAACACAAGAACAGTCACAAGTACTAACAAGTTAAAATTTACTATGTGATTTGATATCTGATGGTATTTTCCATTACAGAAAATTGCTAACGGTGCTTTGAGCCAGACTTATGCAAGAATGGAAAGTAGGGGATGATGCGGCCGCTAATCTCAATGCAATCTTTTAAACACGAAATGAATTTTATTGCGATGTTATATCGAAATCTATTAAATAAGTTTTAATGAAAATCTTGTCTGTTGTTGCATATTCGCTGAGCACGAGTAGTAGTAGTGTGATTACAGGTTTGACTCCCGATTTTACTTTATGAGTTATTGGAAAGAATTGAAGTGAGAGTGATTTGAAAATGTTATTATATTTTCTATATACTCAATATAACTATTTATTTATATAAACTAGATTATTATTATGTAAATAAGGTTCAGAATAATCTACGACTGCTTTACATGTAATAAAATGTATACTATTACTGTAAAATAACCGGATAATTAGACAATATAGCTTAGAGTCTAGATTAAATTACTTTTTCAAGGACAAAACTAAACATGACATCAAATTTTAAATAACTAGCTTATTGATGTTTCCCAAATCGATACATCCTATCATTTATAGACAGTGTGGCATAATTTTATACTTACCTTTACTTAGAAGTAAAAGAGAAGTGAGTCTAAAACTTTAATAAAAAGCAGTCATAAGAACCGACCGACAGAAGTGAAAAATTAAAACTATAAACAAACAGTTGTTATTTTTGGATATTCAAAATAATTGTTAGATCTTAAATTAAAATTTGTAAATTAAAACTGTTTATATTTATCTGGTTTTGACATCTATCGGCACTCTGAGTGTTAGCGTTAACACGTCACGTGACCATGTCGATGGCGACTTACATGAATTTACTCCCCATGCTGCCCATCCAAACTTTCCTATAGGCGATTTCACTAAGAAAATATTTAAACAATTATACGTAAATAGTAAAATCTGAATTCGACATTTTTTTGACAATGATAAGCCAGCCTAAAACAAACGAGTCGACTTGGCGGGTGATATTCGAGTGTTTTTTTGCGCATTTATACAAAGGAGCACTAAAATTGAAGAATTTCAACATCCAGCGCCATTATAGCTCTTTACAAAACGCGTATTAATTTTGCACGCAGTTTGACAATGCCGCATTGTCGCCATTGTTCCTCGCTGTGGGAGAGGGAGTACTAATTGTTTATTTATTATTCCCAGCTTGCATTTATTTAATGATAAATATGTAAATTAAATATCAGTTATCAGAATTTTATATATGAAAATTATTTCTGAGCTTAAGCGTTTATCTCAGATTTATATTTCAGTTTTTTTAACGATTTTTTTATGTGAAAATAATAATACTGGTTACATATGAATATGTTGGGACATTAACACACAGTACCATCTAGTTCCATGGTAAGCTACGAGGCTTGTGTTATGGATACCAGATAGTTGATACACTACACATATATAACGTTAAATATATACATATTATAAATATAAACACCCATGACTGGAGTACAAACATTCGTGCTCATCACACAAAGAAATGCCCCCAGCGGGACTCGAACCCGCAACCGCTGACACAGCAAGTAGGGTAATTAGAAACTAAACCAAACGTGTCGTCAAATTAATAAACTATTTTTCTTTTTTCCCCTTCATTGTTCATAAATAAAACCAGTACCTTATTAATTTAAATGGGAATCGATTTAAATAAACAGGATTCACACGTGCGTTACTCGCGATGCATATCGATATCGATCCCCCGAAGCGTGTAATCACGATTCTGCCTACTTGCAGTTCATGAAATCTTTATGCTAACGTTTTAATGGTAAACAGCTCGAGTAATAAATAGAAGCTACTGAGAATGTTTATGAGTAATATATTTTTTGTATACAACATCGTTTAACTTAAAATGCAGTTTTGATATAATACGTGTTATAGAACACGATAGCTTTCCTTTTTTTATGTAACGATAATTGCGTTTTAATTGAAAATAAAAATGGCGTCAAAATTGCTGTAAAAGTAATTACTCCACCCTTAGACATGGGTTTTTTTCTTGGAATTTATGTCAGGCCCTCTTTAATATAATACTATCTATACATTAAAAATATGAAAATCGGTTCAAAAATGGCGAAAATATTAACGTTTACGTAAAAAAGATACGTCTTCAGTATGAACATACTCCTTTTTTAAAATCGGTTAAGGTGTAAATGAAAGTTAAAGAGTAAGAAACCAAACTGAATTAATGATTTAAAATTAATAAAGTACATAATAAAAGGTTAAATAAAACAAAACACCAAATGACTATATCAGAAACTTAACAATTCAAGTTCGAACGAAATTCTTGTTTTAAGTTCACTCTTTGTTTTAACTATTTAATAATTAAATAATATTTAATAAAAAATATTAAATAATTTAAATAAATAACTTGCAATGGCTATAACAAAAAATCTCATTTATTTTATATTTAAATTTATTTTATTTTTATATACTTAAAAACTCTGTGTCGCTGAATCCATCCGCCATGGACTAATAATAATCCATGCAATGATTTAAAGATGGCGTCAGTTTAATTTTTCGCCATATTAATATCTAATTATAGAGATATAATGAATGGTAAAATACATAGCTTTTGAAATTAGAAACTGTTTGAATACCACTTGGAAAATAAATATATTATTCACGTGAAGAAAATTAATCAATCGAGTATTATTATTCAGTATTATCTATTTTTTTCTGAGAATAAGATTTAGAGCATTTTTAAATTAGCTTTCGGTATAAGCTTAGGAGCAATTGGCAAGTTGATATATTTAGGTATTATCTTCAGATATCATTGGAGGCATAAAACCAACTTAATATCTACCATATTGTGATCTTGTCACTACACCTCACTATACCCAATGGGAAACCATGAAATTTTTGAAAAATAAATTATAAATTTTAAACTGCAAAGTCAAAAAATACGAATGATGAAAATAGTTTAAATAATATAAAAATTCCAAAATATTAGATTTGAACATGTAAAAGATTTTTCTAGTTACTGTTACATTGTAATATGTTTATATATGTTTAATAATATATTTGTACGTACTAAGTATTATGTGTAAACCCTAACAGCTTTTTACTAAAGAATGATTACAAGGTGACCGTAAGTTTAGTATTTCTGTTTGCCTCGACTGATAAATATAACTTCCGCGCAAAATCACCTTTTTTATATTTTTAATAACGTCTGAGAATGATAAAAACAATGATTGACCAATTATATTATTTAATTTAATTTTAAGTAAATCATTTTGTTATTAGAATCGAAGTATAATATTTTATTACAATTAATAAAACGGTTTTAAAATAAATATTTTTGAACAATATAAGGAACGTTTGGAATAATGAATGAATGGATTTAGTATTTACATATGACTCTAGATTAATTTTAAATCTTTTAACCCTCAAAAATACGTAGTTATTGTTCACGCGACCATTTAAATAAAAAAGGCTAAAAAAGAAGACAGATCGAGTATTTTACTAATATTAATAAATAAAATAAGTTTGTTTGTACGTGCCCTACATATTTAAAAAATAGTATTTTTATATAGTTGCTAAAAAGAATGTATCGCCTAATATTTTTATAAACAATAACCAGTTGAATCGGCGATATCAGAGTAGCGCATATCGAATAGATTTCCTTGAAAACAATGTCAGGATATCCACAACCGCAGATAGAAATAAAGTTATAATAATATATTATTTATAGAATTCACTAATGGTTGTAAATTTTTTCATTGTATAGCTAACGAACTAAAGAAAAAAAATTGAATACCGAAATTCATCCCGTTGAGGGAATTGACCACAAAGTCACAATGTATTAAAAAACATAGTACATAAACATATACCTATATATCTATAATATTGTTTGGAAGAAAGCTTATAAGAGCTTTATTTTAAAAATACACCCTTTTACCTTGAAAAGCCAGATAAGATTTTTTCGACTAGTAAGAATTTAAAAGATTGTGTGTAAAAATTTTTGATCGTTAAAAATAAAAAAATTATACTCCATCTTTAAATAACAAAAATAATTATTTCATAGAATAAAATTAAATCAAATAAAAAGAAAATCATCTCAATTTATAACATGACCACAAAAAGCCGATAGAAATTATTTAAAAAAACTACAAAGTTAAAGTTAACAAAAAATACAAAATCTCTTAAAAGTAGAGTTTTAAAGAACTTACCATGATGACGGTCGGTAGAAACGATAGACACGATCTGTGAAGGATGAGTGGTGTGGCGTGGCGAGTTCGCGAGGCAACGCACCGGGCCGGACTGGTGGCGCTGTGGGGACCCCATCGCTTATATACACGTGGTGAACGCGGGTTATTCTGGATACACTACATTTTAAGATGTTCCATTTCTATGGTTTATCTCCATTATGAAAGATTTTGCCTTTATCTGATTCAAGTAAATTTGGGAAATTAAGGAGCATTTTATATCATACTTGCCTTATTCTTTTAGGTACTCGTGTAGTTTTAAATTTTGGGATTTGGGAGATCCTATTATTCATAAGCATTATGAATTGTTATAAAATCCAAAAAGTTATTTTGAGTATGCAACTTCTATCTATTTATTAATACCATAAAGTACATAATTTTAACAATAATGAAACCTACTGTTGTTACTATTTCATGTAAATGTTTTCGTGTTTCTAATACGAAATACATAACTGAAGTCTATATCATAAACAGGTACTTAGTTAAATAAGCTATACTTAATTATTATTATTATAAGTAAAATATGAAGTGAATTTTATAAATTTCTTTCTTCTTCTCGGGTTCGTCCCTGGGGTGGGGTCTGGGAGGACCACCCTTATCCTTATCACTTAGGGGTATGAAAAATAGATAGTAGCCGATTCTCAGACCTACTGAATACGTATATAAAATTTGGTAAAAATCGGTAAAGCCGTTTCGAAGGAGTACGGTAACAAACATTGTGACATGGAAATTTTATATATTAGAATATAACAAATCTGTACTAAATAGTTTTTGGAAAATCCTTTTCAAATAGTCATTATTACTGATAAAGAGGCCGAATCTAAAGTATTTAGAATTTTTGCCTGTCTTTCTGTCTGGGAACGCATCACGAGAAAACCACTGGATAGATTTTGATGAAATTTGGTATAATGATAGCTAGGTATCCGGGTTAACATATAGGATACTTTTTACTACGAGAAAATATCTCATCTCTGAGAAATCTATACTAACCGTTAAAACGTAACAAGTAAGTACATAATAAAGTTACTCAGTGTCATCCAGAATAATACCGCTGATTCATAAGAGCAGACGGTAGTGTGTCCAGACTCCAGAGCTCAATTTTAGTGAATCGGAACCGAAATATAAAACAAAAACAATGATTAATATTGTGAGTAATATGCTGTTTAAATTAAATATTTATTATAGTTAACTTTTTGTAGAAACGGAAATTGTTAATTCTTTGTGTTTTATCTTTAAATTCTTCTAATATTATTTATTTGCTTATTATTTAATATTATTAAGTAAATAATGATTATTTAGGTATGATTATGAATAAAAAATAAAAATAAACTTTGCAATTTCGCGGTTTTTAAACTAAGCGTGGGAAACTTCGTGAAAGAATGACATTTTCAGGTAGGTACATACATTTGTACACACATATATACATGTATTCAGTCCTTTTTACAGTCCCACAGCTGGGCAAAAGTCTCCCAGTACAAGAGGGTTGGTGATTGGATCTCGTCTTGCGAAACTTGCAAGGTTCTCTCTTCTCTCCATCTCGCTGTGGAATGAACTCCCTGCCGAGGTTTTCCCAGAGGGCTACAGTATGGGGTCCTTCAAAAGGGGAGTAAATAGGTTTTTAAAGGGTCGGCAACGCGCATGTGATGCCCAAGGTGTTGCAGGCGTCCATAGGCTGCGGTAACCGCTTACCATCAGGCGGGCCGCATGCCTGATTGCCACCGACGTGGTATAAAAAATATATATATATATACTCCTCACGATGTTTTCTTTTACCGTAAGACAAGTGGTAATCAAGTTGGAAATAATCAGTACATGATAATATCAGAGGTGCGAGACCCGAGATTTGAACCCGCTTCACTCTGTTTCCCAATATTACCCAAGTGACCGCGCTACCACTAAGTTACCACTGCCACATGTACACTACATGTACGTCTATGTATGTATTTGGATAAAGATTCAAACATACTTTCAAACTAAAGTTAACAAAACAATCTTGTCTCTTAATTCAATATAATCTGTACATAATAAATAATAAAATTCTAACTGAAAATTTTATTGAAATAGACATTATGATCGATGCAGAGGCCGAATCTATAGTTTTTAGAATTTTTGTCTGTCTATCTGTCTGTCTGTTACCGCATCACAGAAAAACCACTGGGGGGATATTGATGAAATTTGGTATGGTGATAGCTGGTTATCCGGGTGCGCGGAAAAATATCTCATTTCTGAGAAAAAATACAAAAACTGCATTGTAAGAGTACACTAATATATAAAACCTAAGAATTTGCTTTTCGGTCATCTGAACGCGGGCGGAGCCGCGGGCAATGCTAGTCTCGTATAATTTTATATTTTTGTTTTTTAATGATCACAAATAGTTAATTTTACAATAAACGTTTAGATGGCTGACATCATTAAACACTACACTACTACTAAGTCAGTTCCACTGCTAATACTATATATATATATAATATATATATATATATATATATATATATAAGTATATAGTCTCAGATGTCAAACTCGTAAAAAAAATGTAATTATCTAAAATATATAACCTACGGATGTTTGTAAACATTTTGTAAGTAGAGATTTCTGAGGTCATAAAATGTGGTCGCCCTAGTGAAGGGATGAAATGAATGGCGTATGGGGAATCGTATGAAGAGGGAAACTAAGGTAGGGACCTTGACCCTTCCACTTTGTTTTGACTGCGTTTTTCTGTATACACCTATACGTAACCATATAAAAGGCTTGTCAGGTATACCACAGAGATAATTGTAATATAGAAGTGATATAAAAATACTTTCTTAGATTTACGCGAATATTTGACATTTTAAATAAAGCTATCTTTTCGGATTTTTTCGCGGAATTATTTGGGTTTTTAGTTCCAAAACGTCGGGAACCAAAAATTCAAATAAATCCGCGAAAAAATCCGAAAAGATAGTTTTATTTAAAATGATATAAAAATATTTTATAATTTATATTATTATCTCTATTTTTACTCGAAATATAAATTTGAAATTGTTGGCTTGACGCATTGAACATATATGTATAACTAGCAGAATCCGCGGACGCGCTCGCGCTAAAACTACAAAGAATATCTAAAAAGGTTTCATCCCCTATTTTACCTCCTTATAGAATGAATTTTGAAAAATGCTAAAATAATTATTTATTTAATTTTATTAAAGATAATTATTACCAAACTTCAAGTCATTCTGATCATAAATATTTTTTTGGATTATATTATAACTTGTTTTCCCGTGGGAATAAGATAATCTTCCGCGGTAAAAGTAGCCTATGTCACTCTCTAGCCCTCCAACTATCACCACACAAAAAATCACGCCAATCCTTCTCTTCGTGTCGACGTGAAAGAAGGACAAACAAACAAACACATTTTTACATTTATAATATTAGTATGGATAGTATAAATTAGGTAATAGGTAATAATATGTAAAGAGGAAACTTTAACTCTTGTTTAAGCATTGAAAAGACGAAACAGTGTAAGCTTTGGTATAGTTAATAAAGAACAACTGCAAAAAGCAAAAGTTGTCGAAAAAGATCTGTTGTAATATAAATATTCCTTTAACTAACCGCCTGGGTTGCTATTAGTATTTGTTACATTTTTGTTTGTGAGGAGCGATGCAGAGGCAGCCTTGCGAGAGAGTAGAGACTATCGCTTTTGTATAGTTTCGCCTGTAAATATATAAAGCTACATGTGGTAGACGAGTTAAAGGATTAACAAAACATGACAAAAGTTATTTATAATTCGCCTAATATACCTATTACGTATTTCGGAGTTCTTGATCTCTGAGAATGCAATACCATGAATGATGGACTTTAACGCAGAGCTTGAATATTGAGTGCTACTTAATAGATTTAAATAGTTTTAAGTTCCAGAGTATTTAATTTATTTATACGAGTGGTTCTTTTTGGAAATAAGAAATTATTATTACATAAAGCCATCATCATCATAGCCCTCCCATGCTCTTGACTAATTTCGGTAATCGTCGATGCTAGTTTCAATGAATTTGGATGCCTTGACTGAAATCGGTAAGAAGCATTAGTATTATACCAAGCTTGATCGGTGAGTCTTCTTGTACGATTGGTATTGAATAACGATTTTTTTATTTTTAAATTGAACTTGTTAACTGTATACAAAAAATCCATATGAAGTCAATCCAGCTGCGCCTGAGTGACCTTGGCGAATTGACAAAAAATCTACAAACTGTTGTTTAGGTTTTTTTTGCATTACAAACATCTCCCAAACTCTAATAATACAAAAAAAAACCAACCTTGACCTAGTTATGATTTTATTATATGCACAAAAATCTAATACAAAATATCTTAAAAAAATTAATTCAATCAAGTTTTAATCTGTTTCGTATAAAATCTAAATTTTCCGTGTGCATGGTAGAGTGGGTAAAACTTAGCTTTTCAGTAAAGCTTATATTACACGAGTACTGCACTGCGGCAGCGACCGGCTTCGGGCTCCGAGCTTCAACAAGCGCTATTTCATCTTTTATTCAGGATAAAATTCAATTTAGACTGCATTTACATTATAAATGCTCATTAGCAAACTTTAAAATAATACTGTAATATTTATTGCATAGGCAGTGTTAGCCCAGTGCTAACTAATATTGCTTGGGAAACCAAGAGAGGCACCTCTCTGATATTCGTAGCGAATTATTTTCAACATAATTATCACTTGTCTTACGGTGAAGGAAAACATCGTGAGGAAATCTGCATGTCTAACCTATGTATGTACAACCTAACAAGTTTTCGATAGATATGTAATGTCTGCCAAAAATTACCTAAAAATACGCCCAGGGCAATATAAATAACAATGTACAATGATTTGCTATAAGAAAAATTGTCTTATTACTTTACTTATAATTGTTCTTTACTTCTCCAGTTCTGATTAGGATTAAGATACTTTTTTCTTACACTCATTAGAAAATTAGAAATTCCAT